CCCCCCCCCCCCCCCCCTGGCTGTAGACTGCGTTTAAAACACATTTTTTCACTTAAAAAAATAATTTATGCTTAGAAACATAAAAATTTATAATATTTATGTATCAATGGATAATTTTGGGCGTGAAAATAGCAGCCATTTCACAGGCACTTTAAATGAACATTAAGGTGTTTTGAGCATGTTTGAATAACTGCCATAAATATTAAATCTTGATGAATTTGAGTAGGATCCGGTTTATTGTACTATGAAAGTGTTGTCCTGGCAACTAACAGTGATATTTAATTTGATGAATCAATGATAACGCTCGCGCATCGAATTTACCCGTGTGTATTATATTAACTTATATTGTATTGATCGATTGACCAGCGCCTCAATACTGAAAAAAGAAGTAACTCAATTATTTGACTGGTGTGGCGCTGTTTCTACGAGTATAGGTCGGTGAAGGTCACACGCGTGTATAGTTAATAAGGTCAATAGCCTGCATGGCTTAAACATTCATCTTGGTGTTTCGCTCTGCCATAATAAACATGACAAAATTAGCGGCCATTATTTTGTCATTTCTTAGAGCTAGTTGGATCTTTGCAGTATCATGCTTTCGCTTTTTTGTTCCCATGCAGAAAAAATCACTGGCGCAGGAAATTGTGCTCATCACCGGCGCTGGCGCTGGGATCGGTAGACTGATGTCAACAAACTTCGCTAAGCAGGGCTCGGTGGTTGTACTGTGGGACATCAATAAACAATGGATGGACGAAACCGCCGAAATAATTACTACTCAAGGAGGCAAAGCGCACAGCTATCAATGCGATGTGACCAGTAAAGACGAAGTCTACCGCCTCGCTAAACAAGTCAAGAAAGATGTGGGTGGCGTCACTGTATTAGTTAATAATGCTGGGGTCGTGAACGGAAAGAGGTTTTTGGATATTTCGGATGAGATGATAGAAAGGACGATGAACGTGAACGCAATGGGAATATGTTGGGTAAGTTTGCGTTTTAGAATACTGTGAACCAATTTATTTTCACTTGAAATTTATTCATGGATTTTTTCGCCGAAGGGATGAATCAGTGGAAATAAAATCCAGTGAAAATCCTATTTCACTGTATTTTAAAATCATATCATATGAAATCAGGGAAAATCAAACTCCATAAACAGCGACAATTAATACCAGCTAAAAATAAAGTACTAAGTATTTTACAGTACTGCAATTGAATCTTGGATAAAGGGCATTTGGAGTCATGGCGAGGTGGTGACAGAGGGCGTTGAGTGGAAACCCCGGAAAACACTAAACCTGTCGAAAAACACTAAACCT